ATATATATACTCTGTAGAATTCTCTCTGTAAACACTCTGTAGAACTTTACTTGAACTACCCGTGTAAATTTACAGACTTATAATAAAGTTTTAATAAAAACATATGTGATTTGCGAAAATTCTTTTTATTCCTATTTGCTTTAAGAGACACGATTATGTGAGACACGATTAGAGAAGTTATTTCTGCCTTAATTATTGCTCATTTTTTAAAAATAGGAAGATTTAGTTAATTTACGTTGCATTCCGTACGCTCTCATACATAAGATTTGAAGCAATTGTGCCTGCTTGTGTTTTTATTAGACCCTAAATACAAAGAATATACATACTTTTCTACATATTTTTATGTTTTCTTGGCATGATTTTACAAACCTTCAAGCACGCTATTCAATGTTTTTTTTTGGTGAATGTTTTTTTTTTCTGTTTTACCTACCTTCGAATTAACAGCATGAACATATTACAGATAGATCAAGAAGAAAGCCAATACAACATTTCACTACATTAGTGCTTTAAACTTATGGTTTCTGCAAAATTTTCTATTTCCATTCGCGAGAGTTATATGTTTTTCACTGGCGCTTGTTCTTTTCACCATAATTGGCGCATGCGCACTTCAAGTGCATAGGCACAATTACTTCGAAATTTCCATACGGGAGAGTACGGCATGAATGTAAATTTCCAAAATCTCCCTTTTTAGTCCTCAATTGGAGACCTAAACATAAATAATTTAAAGATCAATATTTCATACATGTTTCATACTCTTCCTCACTCCAATCTCTCACATAAATTTAGGTTTTTAAAAGGACTGGAGAAGGCTTTCTAGACGTCGAATGGTTTCCAGGACTGCTTTTTAATGCAGCAGAAAATCTTTTGAAAATACGAGAAAATGATCGAACAGCTATTATATATTCAGGTAGACCATTATCTTCTCTTTCTTTGGATAATACGATTTTCGTAAATATATGATTTTATTGATTCTTTTACGCTACTCTTCTTGCAATATTTTTTTCCTAAAACTAACATAAGTAGAAACATTTCTTTGATTATTTATATTATTTTCTTATAAATAAACTAACTCCATTTTAGACTAGTAAAATTTTAACTTTTATCCACAAATACGCCAAATTTTCTTTTTTTCTGGCAATCAAACAGAATTTGATGTTTTCACTCCCACTTTCCTCAGTAGTGATTCATTAGATTTATATTTTACCTTTGCTATTTTCTCGCTAAAAAAATAATTTGTTACTTTTAAATGTATGTATTTTTTTAATTCTCTTTTTACTAAAATTCTGAAAGTTTACATTATGAGCAGTAATTAGGGATTAATTTCCATAAATTTCAAAATAATAAAAGAATCAGAAAATAAGAATGACTCTACCGCTTATTTTTGCACTAACAAACATCTAAACGGCAAGTTATCACAACGAAAATGTTGAAAAATAAATGAGAATATAGACAAAATTACTTGTTAGTAAATCAGTGTTACCATACTAGTTAAAAAAATAAAGCAAAAACTCTTAAAACCTGAAATTTGGGAAAACTTATCAAAGTTCGAACTGTTTATGATTAAGATATTTTTCAATGAAATACAAAACTCAATTCCTAATTTTAAAAAAGTAAAGGAAAAATTCTTTTTTTTTTTCTCTTTTATTTGCAGATGAATCAGGTTACGAAGAAAGAGTCACATATGCTGAAATGTTTGAGCAAGTTAAGTTATATGCTGCAGCGTTTCGAAAGCATGGTTTAAGGAAGAACGACATTGTTGCATGTAAGTTATTAATTAAAACTTACTTTTAAAAACAACTATAAAATATTGCTGTTTTATATTCAATGAAGCATTAAAAGAAAACAAATTTGCGATTGATTTAATAATTCATTTTTACATATTTCATCCATGCCCTTACAAACAAAAAAATTCGCATACATTTTCTCAGAATATGATGTTTATAAAGATTTTGGCACCCACTTAAATCTAATTGTTATTATTTTCTAAATTTTTTGACTTTACATTTTAAAAAGAAAACATTGTAGCTCATCCAAGGTTTACTTTTCCCCTATATTAAGGAAGTTTCACACTCCTTTACTTTCGATTCATTTCTTTCGATAATTCTATATAAATCATTATAAATCATTGTAGGTTTTATTTTCTTCATTATCATAAAAATTTCACGCTCTTTTTCTTTTGATTCATTTCTTTCGATGATTAAACATTAAGAAATTATTGTAACTCATTTTAGGTTTTCTTTTCTTCTTCATTAAGGAAGTTTCACGCTCCTTTTAATTCGATTCAATTCTTTCGATGACTAACATAAAAAAAAATCCTAAAAATCGTTGTAACTCATTGTAGGTTTTTATTTTTCTCCTTCATCAAAAAAGTTTCCTGCTCCTTTTCTTTCGATGACTCTACATAAAAAAAAATCATTGTAACACATTGTAAATTTTCTTTTCTCCTTCATTAAAGAAGTTTCCTGCTCCTTTTCTTTCGATGACTCTGCATTAAAAAAAATCATTGTAACTCATTGTAGGTTTTTTTCTCTCCTTCATTAAAGAAGTTTCCTGCTCCTTTTCTTTCGATGCCTCTACATGAAAAAATCATTGTAACTCATTGTAGGATTTTTTCCTGCTCCTTTTCTTTTGATGACTCTACATAAAAAAAATCATTGTAACTCATTGTAGGTTTTCTTCTCTTCCTCATTAAAGAAGTTATAAGACTTCTTTTCTTTTGATTTATTACCTCCTTTACCTTAATTAGATAAGAACTGCCCATAGGCAAAATAATTATTCGCTGGCCTAAGTTTACGCAGTGCTTACCTATACTGTTAGAAGTTTTTGAGAGTATTGAGCCGTAACATTGTTCAAATTTGCTGTAAAAATATAATATGAGCTACATTGAACCTTAATATCGTACCTGTTTACATGGTACTGTTGTTCAACTTGAATAAAACGTGGTTCAGTTCAGCGTTTTACTATGATTGCACCACATTTTCCTCGAATTTATGTGTTTCTTCTTCTATTCTAATTTTTTTAAAAATTGCACTTTAAGGTTCAAAATAATATTTTTGTTTTTAGGAATTTTTCAATAATTGAACTTTAATTCATTGATGCAAAAGCATTATATTATTCCCAATTGCCATTTTCCTTAATACAAATTTTATTTCTTGAGATAAAGCATTAACCATTTTAAGCTTTTAGCTTTCACAGTCTAGTATTCAAAACTCTTGCAGGTTACATTTCTAACCGAAAGGAAGCCGTCTTCACTTATCTAGCAGCAGTCAGTATAGGAGCAATATTTAGTGGTCCTCAACCTTATTTCGGAGCTCAGGTAATGCAAAGATATTTCCTTGGCTTGAAATTTATTAATTGAAGAACAAAACTCAGAACAAAAATGGGCTCTTGTGTACTTTTCGTGAATTATTTTACAGTGCTCGAAGGATATAATATCTTTATTTTTGTTCTATTATTTTTGTTCTATTATTATGTATACTATTATTTATGCTCGGGTGGACCACCTGGTCTCTGCAGGCGTCTAGTTATTTATGTCAAGCGGACGAATCTATTTACAACTTTATATATAAAAAAATTATTTTAGACGAAAATTTCTCATGCAGACATTTGTATAATAGATAATTAGGAACAAGAGGAGGACGAAGGAAAATACATTTTGTACCAACATTAAAACCTCTTGACTGAAAAAAACGCTGCTTTCCCCTGCGCCACTGAATCATTATGTCCGTTGCAATAAAGATGTCAAAAATATAAAGGCATCTTACGTCTTGGGCATCAAAACGTAAGGTGCCTTATCTGAGGCATCAACACAAAATCAAGGAAGGTACCTTATCTTGACTTACCTTGGTGGATGCATGAACTTGTCTATTCGATGCCAATAGCAACAAAAATGCATGAGGAAAATGCATTGCCACCATTAGGAATCCGAAAATGTAAAGAATTAATGGACTTCTGTTTGATAATACTCACTCTGATAGGTAGTACATGTGTATAGCTTTTCCCTAATCAATGTTGGATAAAGGATTTGAGAATAACTTAGTAACGATTTGAGTTACTTCAAAACAAAACACACATTAGAATTCTAAAATTCCAAAATGTATTAATATATCTATTTTGTTTGACGCCAGTATTACATGTCACTTTTGCTTAACTATGTTACTTGTTATGTTTTATGCCAACTTCTAACTGTGTTCATTGTTAGTTCCTTTCATCAAAAATGGAAAATTTCAAATAAAATCATGTTTTTTTTTCATACAATAGTTGGTGTTAAAGCAATTTTTTATCTGTGGCATACTATGTTTTCAAAAACTAATCTAGTGGACAGGATAGACAGGTTGGCAAGGCGCTGGACTCCCGTTTGTGAGAACAGGAGTTAGAATCCAGCCGGCCGAAGACTCCCTGTGACACGACAGATTTAACGTGCACCAGTTACCATTCACAACAGTAAATGGTAACTGGTGCACGCTAAATCTGTTGTGTCACAAAATTCTCCAAGTTCCCATAACAAATTATAACTCTGGGGGTACTGAATTGGAGATTGATAGTTCTCTGGTTAAGGTCAAAACTGCGATCTGTGGATTAATGAAAGAATGCATCAATGAATCCACTCTATAATCGGGTTTGACGTATGAGTGTGGCAGAAGTCGAATTCTTGGCCATAGATGGCGCCACTGAAAAACAAGAATAATCGCACCCCCTCTGCGTTAATGGCCGACGACAACTAATACAGAATCTCTTAATCTTCCTTTCCAGGCAGCATCGAATATTATTCAGAAGCTTCAACCGAAATTTTTGATTTCCATCGATCATCACACTGACAATGGGATCGAATATCACAATATTGATCACTTGCCAAAAATATCAGAAGGTTTGTTGTTAGCATTTATATTTTCAAATCATTAGTATTAAATTTAAATACCCCTTAAGATGAATTGTATGGCTTTACCTTTAGAACATTTACTTTTAAACATTTTATTTCGTAAAACACTTGAAAAGCAAAAATATCCTTTGGAAAAGAATTATCAATTCTTTTTGCTTTCTGTAAAAATCCTTGGAATTTTTATGGATTTGGAATTTGCTTCATTTTTGAAATGAGGACGAAATTATAAGATTATTTGGCTCCTAATAGAATAATAACAAAACTATTCAATTCAATAAATAACAAAAAATACAATTAAACATTATTCAAGTAATGCTTACTTCTAATTGTAATTCTAAATCCTGGATCAATATCTCTGTGGACTCCATAGTTTTTTCAAAGCCCCCCCCCCCAACACAGTGATGCAGTTGCATCTTTGATTATTTGATCTATTAACAAAAGATTAGAATCTATAAGCTCATTTAAACCATATTGTTGTCGTAGACACAGAAACCGGTTGTTGTTGTTGTTGTTTTTTTCATGACTCTGATCAACCAATGACGCAGGCCACCGGAACGGGCATTAAAATCAATATTTAAATACTGCTTGATACTAATACCCAGATCAGCTATTAGTATCAAGCAGTATCTAAATATTCTTTTATAATTGAAAAGCAATGTCAGAGTAGAATGTTAATATCCAACGAGTACTGTAACAGGTACTAAATAAATAAACAAGTACGTTTCAGTTTTTGGTACATTTTACAGATACATAGAATTTCTATAAAGATAAAGCAAGCTTCTATACTTTTTTCTGCGTATTCTTCATAAGCATAATTCTTAAAAACAGGAAAAATATTCAAGATTTGATCATATCACACTCATAAACTACGATTATTAAAATTTCTTCGCTACTACGGCAAAAAGAAATGGTTCATCCTTGTATTTTATATAGTGGAATGTATTGAATTCAATCTTATTAAATTTATTTCAGTTTCATATTTTCTTTCCAGATACTTTATCTCTTGAAAAGATCGTTATAATTCCATCAAGACCAGAGACTTACCAGCTTGATATTTCGAATATTCGAAACAGGTTAGCAGTTATTGACTTTCATTATACTTATTGAAAGATCTATATATTATTATAAAATTGTATAAGTTGTGCAGGGGTTACGGATCCTATTCACCTTCTTATGATTTTCAAAAATATAAAAAAGAAATCGTTAATGATGTACATTTTATTCCATAATTACCGCCCTTAATATCCATGATGTTTTTAGGATGTTTTTTGACCAAAATAGCGTGTAAATTTTCTTTATCAAGGATTATAATATTTTATGACAGTCAGGATACATTTTTAGAGCCCTAGCCGAAATTCTCTTAAATTTAAGCGAAAAAAATTAAACTATTTATCAAAATATGGCGAATTATTATCAGGATCAATAACTGAAAATGTTTATTTAAAACCTACGAAACTAATCCAATTTAATGTCATTCCTAATAATTTGTAACAATAATAAAAACAAACTGCAATAAAGAATGCAGATTGAAAAATAAAACAACCAAATGAACATATCACACCCCCACATGACTAAAATAGTGTTATGTTTGGCAATATAGCAAAATCATAATTCATTTACATTATATCAGTTTAAATAGTTTAAATTTCATAATTAAAGCAACAAGCGTCTTTTTTTTAATTTAGAATATATTAATTTTGTAACTGCCAGAAATCTTAATGCTTATACTAAAATATTATTTAATTACAAAACACTAAATATTATTTAGAATATAAGTTTATAATATATCATGAAAAATTAATATAGTAATTCTATTTTAAACACTTTTTTGAACTCAACTTTATAAATTAAAATACTTACATTCATTCATTTTTTGTTTGCCGTTACGCTTATAACAGAGATTAAACACTAAATAAATAATCATGTCCATAAGACAGAAAAATTAGTTACAAATATTCTTAATAATAAATGAAAGAAAAGCTAAATTAATCAGAAATTAAAAACAAATCTTGTAGACAAATCTATTATGCCGGAGGTCGACATATTGAGAAGCATCGCTGAATTTATGTAATAAATTTTGGAAATATAAACACTCAAAAATGATCCCTATATTTTTTTGTTACCCTGTAAATGTGGTAAAATTAGATATTTTTTCATGATACCTTGGAGCAGGGCATAAACACTATTTTTTTGGTTAAATTGGCTTTTAAGTTTTACATTTTTACTAAATGCGTGGTAATAAGAAGTATAATTTTGAAAAACACAATTTTCGGTAGACTTTTACCATATGACTGCTGGTTTAAATAACGTATATTTTGATTTTATTACAAAAATTATAGGGTTTCTCTTACCAGGAATATCTTTACCTTACAGTATAATAATTTTACCAGAATTGTTTCCTCCGTGTACAATTATTACAGGGATTCTAAAAATACATTCTTAAGAAAGGATTAAGAGCACCATATTCAGAGAAAGATTTGAAAAAAAAACATATCGAAGAAAATTAATAAGTTTTATTTACTGAGCATCAGCTGTCAATATATAGAACTCATAAAACAAATTCAAAACATAGAGAAAACCTGGAAAAAATTACAGAATAATAAAAAGATGAGAAGAAAAATAATTAGAATAAAATAAAATAAATTAATAATAAGAAAACAACATTGAAAAAATAAAAATAAAATCTGTTTGAAGAAAAAAGACATAATCTCTTCATCAGCTGATAAAGAGATTATATCTCTTTTTTTTACCGGATTTTTTATATTACCTTTTTTATTATTATTTTATATTATTTTAATAATTTTTCTTCTTACATTTTCATTATTCTGTAATTTTTCCGTGTTTTCCATACATTTTCTCTGCATTTCTTACAAAAAAGCTTCATTAGAACAGCTATATATTTTCAAGTAAGGCTTCTTAAAAAAAGTAATTAACCTTTTTCTACAGCTGCTTCTTAAGAGAATTTTTAGAGAGTGGCATGAATCCAGATGGAACAATACCGGACATAAAATTCGAACAACTTCCATTCAGTCATCCTGTCAGTATCAACTTCACATCAGGCACTACAGGACTGCCCAAGGGACCAGTACATTCTGCAGGGGTAAGCAATTAAGCTTAAACTTGACTTTTAAACCAAAATCAAACCCATTAAACCTTAATGAGAGTGATGCCTCTACACTGTAAATAAATCTTGATTGTATTACGGTAAAAAGTACCAGTTTAAAAAAGTTTTAGTGCCCTGGTTTACCTTAAAGTCCATTTTAACCTGAACATGTAGGCCGGCATAGCCTGTTCAATAGAGCGCCGGGCCCATGTCCGAGAGTTCGTGGGTTCGAACCCCGCCGGCCGAAGACTCCCCGAGTAGTAAATGGTGACTGATGCAGGTTAAATTTNTTCCCATAACAAATCAACACCTCTGGGGGTACTGAATCGGATATTGATCGTTCTCTGGTTTCGGTCAAAATTACGATCTGTGGATGAAGGAATAGATGTATGAAAGGGTCCGCACTATAAACGGGTGCGACGTATAGTGTGACAGAAGTTGAATTCTCGGACATAGATGGCGCCACTGGAAAACAAGAACAATAACACACCCTCTGCCTAAACAGGCACACGTCAACAACAACAACAAGCTGAACATATTACAAAATAAAAAATCTAATGTACCGTAATATTTTACAGTAAAGTCACTGAATCACTCTAATTAAATTAATATAACTGTAAAAATTACGGTATAATATTTTACAGTAAAATTGATTTTACAATATAGTTAATTAGTATCTTTATTCAACGTTGCTTATAAGCTGATGTATACTTATAGTAACACAAAATTTTAAATGCGTAAGAAATTTTGACTCTACCTATTAATATTGGAGTATATTATAATAATACCCAAACTTCGATCTACGAATTCCGAAGGATAATAAACAGCATCAAGTGGGTGAAAGTTTACCTCAGAACATGGAGTCAAAAATTAAGTTTATAGGTCAAAAATCACGAAAAACGTTTGAAGTTAATTGGACACGCGAGACTCGTTGATTGGGTTCCATATGCACCGGATCTTAATTCTTTGTGACTTTTCCAACAGGGTTGCTTTACATCACCAGTTCATACAACGCCTGTGGACATAACCAGATGACCTCGTAGTGCAAATTATCATTGCTTCAGCAGCAACAAAAGTATACCTAGAGTCTTCGATCGTTTTTACGTTTCGATCCTAGAGTTTTCGATCGTTAGAGTTTCGATCGTAAATTATCCTAGGACGTCAGTGGGAGTCACTTCAAATAACTCCATTAATAATTAAATCAAACAAATCTTATTTTAATTAGTAAGTTCGTAGTACCTTTTTAGTTGTTGTCTAATGTGGCATCAAAACCTACATGGGTATTTCTCGATTTTTACCCTCTCAATGTAATATGATAATTTATGATATTTTATGATAATTTTTCATCCTCTTAATTCCTTTAGACACCTCTCTGAATATTTCTGTCTACTTTTGGGACAAGTCTGTTTATATTAAACCAGTTATACACTTTCTTTATTGACTGAAAAACGTATAAAAAAACATTTCATATTTTCTTTCAGACAATGATGAATGAATTGCTCAGTTTTGTATTCTACTGGAATCTGAAACCAGGGGATGTCGTCTTCTCCTGTTACCCGGTAAGAAATACTACAATAATCGTTATTGATCATTTGTAAGATCAAAAAACCCTACACTTTAAAAAAGGGCTTCTCAAAATTGAGCAAAAAATGTGTCAAGATAGCGCCGTAACAAATAATAGTTGAATTTTAAAACCCATGTTTTCAAAATTGAAACAGCAAGTACATATTTGTGCACGAGGAGAAAAGGGGAAACGTATCTGGGATATGTTCGTTTGCTGCCGCACAGGATTCGAACCGAGGACCTCCGGGTCGGTATCAGAATTCTCTAACCACAATAGTTCAGGAAGAGTAAGGAAGCTAAATATAGTCGCCACCGCAACGAAAGATATAGACTTATATTCCTTTCGCTTGAAAGTTTTTAAGATATGGTGAAATAGGCAAAAAGAAAAATTATAATTGCCAATCACTTGGCTTAGCTATTGGGAATATACAGGGTGTTTACAAAGTCCCGGATCCATTTTGATGTTTAACTCATGAAATAATAAAGATAGATTAAAATTAATAACATAAATGGTTAGATAGACTCAAAAAGTTTCATGACCCTTGACCCGGACGTCCCAACACAAGTGATTTTGACGTTGAGCGTGTCAGACAGACATTTTTAGACAATCCTAGAAGATCTGTGAGATCAGCGGCAAGAGAATTGGATATGCCAATTTCGACGGTGTACAGGGTTATTAAGAGACAATTAAGACTGCATGCATACAAAGTTCAAATTGTTCAAGGTTTGGAACCGGACGATAGGCCTAGGAGGATGGCGTTTGCAACAGATATGGTAGGAAGGATAGAAGATGATGCTGATTTTCTGAAGCGCATAATGTTCTCCGACGAAGCATCCTTTCATGTTTCTGGCATTGTTAATCGCCATAATGTGCGCATATGGGGATCTGAAAACCCCCATGAATACCGTGAGACACAAAGGGATTCCCCAAAGGTTAATGTGTGGTGTGGACTAATGCACGACCGAGTCATTGGGCCTTTCTTTTTTACAGAAAAGACGGTCTTATCAGTCGTATACTTAGACGTGTTTGAAAACTTCGTGTTTCCACAACTAGAAGGGCTTCAGCCACGTGTCTTTTTGCAACAAGATGGTGCACCACCTCATTGGTGTATCATCGTTCATAGTTCTTTGAATGACCATTTTCCAGGAAGATGTATTGGGCGAGGAGGTTCAATTCCTTGGTCACCCAGATCTCCTGATATAACGCCGCTGGACTTTTTTCTTTGGGGATTTATGAAAGACAATGTTTACAGGAGGAACGTGTCGAACATTGATGACCTAAAAGCCAGAATTACAACCGCAATAGCCTCTGTGGATGCCAACATNCAAATGAAATGCAGCCGCTACCTGGCGTGAAATTGACTATCGACTTGATATTCTCCGTGCGACGAAGGTCGCACACGTGGAAGTTCATTGACAAGGGTCATGAAACTTTTTGAGTCTATCTAATCATTTATGTTCTTAATTTTAATCTATCTTTATTATTTTATGAGTTATTAAACATCAAAATGAGTCCGAGACTTTATAAACACCCTGTACTTCTCAAATCACAATCCTTGGAAGAAGTGAGTTCAGACAAACTTAGAGTAAGTCATGAAGTTTCAAATACTGAAAAGAAGTTTTTCAAATTTCATAATTAAAATAAATCATGAGAAGATAACTAAGGAGGATTACGCTATGGAAAATTCTCTTCCAATGATTTGTTTGTATTTTGATATTTTAGAATTTTTTCATTCAGCAATTGAAACTTCATGACTTACGTTTGTCTGAACTTATTTTTTCTTTCATTTAAATTTCAAGTTAGAAATGGATGTGGAGGCGAAAGAGAGACAAAAAGTTTCTATTGCTGTTTGGCGTCCTCTTAAAGCTTTCAAAATGAAGATATCAAAAAAAAATTATTTGAAATTTTTTCTACCCTATCATTACTTATAACAAAAAATTTTTGAAACAGAGAAGCAATACATTCGAATAGCAAAACAGTGGCTTACAATGAACTTGCAACAAACTATTGCTCTCTTCATTACAAAGCGAAATCGTTACAGATATTTAACACTAAGTAATTTCAATTGCCTGAATTAATTAGAATTTAAATATTTATATATTTTTGAAAACCTTATTTTTTAAATTAATTAATTTTCCTATAAATTTACTAATTATGTCTCTCATGAATAATTTAAAAGTATGTAATAATTTTTTAAATTACATCAAAGGTTGGATGGACTCTATTTAATATTTACGTAAATGGTTTTGCTTGTGGTGTGACACTATTTCTCTATGCTGGAAGTCCCTATTTCAACAGAAACGGATGCAATTTCTGGGATGTACTTGCTCGCTACAAAGTCACGTCTGCTTTATTAATTACATCGGCAGTGGATAAATTAGAAAAACTTGATGCAAGACCAAGTATGTAGTTCATAAATGAATTTTAACTACAATTTTCATTTCAACTGTTTATTATTATTGTTATTATTATTATTATTGTTGTTATTATTATTACTGCTATTATTATTATTATTAAAGTTGTTGTTGTTGGAAATTTTTTAATACAAAAATTAAAGGAAATTTAAATTACAGAAACTTGTTTAAAAAATGTTATTATTATTGTTATTATTATTGCTATAATTTTTATTACTATTATTATTATTATCATCATTGGAAATTTTGTATCCAAAAACTAAAGGAAATTTAAATTACATAAACTTGTTTAAAAAATGCGATTTCATTTTCTCTTATTTTAAGCACTTACTAATCTGTGATTTACCTGTAAATGGTTTTACCAAGAATGAAATTTATTCCTTTAATGTCACTGTTTCTTTTCATGTTACTTTTTCGAGAATCAAATACTCATTTTGTCAAAATTTTACTGTCGGAAATGATGACTTCCAAACGAAGGAATAGGCTGTAGTTATTATAGCGATAAACACAAGCATTTGTTTTTAGTGCAATAAATATTAAGTTCAAAAAACGAATATATTATGCACAAAAGCAAAAATGTATAGACTTTTTCAACTTTTTGAACCTTTTCAAACAAAAGCATTGTGTATCCGAAATACTTTCATAGTGAACTTTTTTGCAGCGCAAGCTTTGTGTTAAAGAAATTTGAAATATTTCTTTTTAGGTCCTGAATCAAATTTAGAATACTCAAAATGCGTAGTTAAAATGTAAAAAAATATTATTATTATCATTATTCTTCATTTATTAATAATAATTCTAACATAAATAAAATAATTTTAATGTAAATAACAATTATTATCAATATTAATAATAACAATCAATAATTATTATTAATAATAATAATTTATTAATAATAATTCTAATATAAATAATAATTATTATCATTATCATTAATACTAATCAATATTATTATTAATAATAATAATTTATTAATAATAATTCTAATATAAATAATAATTTGAATGTAAATAATAATTATTATCATTAATAATAATTAATATTATTATTATTAATAATAATCATAATAATGTGTAAAAAATAAGAAAAAATTAAAGGAAATCTAAATTACATAAACTTGTTTAAAAAATGTAATTTACTTTGTTATGTACTAAGCACTTACTAATCTGTAATTTACCTGTAAATGGTGTTACCAAGAGTGAAATTTATTCTTTTGATGTTGCTTTTTCTTTTCATGTTACTTTTCAGAGAATCAAATACTCATTTTATCAAACTTTTAGAACTGTCAAACTTTCGTCAGAAATGATGAATTCTAGACAACCGAATGTGTTAAATTCTTTTCATCGGTAAATGCAAGCATATTTTAGTGCAATAAATATTGACTCCAAAAAACGATTACATTATGCAGAAAAGCAATAATTTGTATTAGACTTTTCAAACTTTTTTAACCTTTTCTGATCAAAATGTTATCGATCTGAATTACTTTCATAGTAAACTTTCTTTCTAGCACGAACATTATGTTAAAGAAATTTAAAATGCTTCTTTTTCAGGTCCAGATTCAAATTTAGAATACTTAAAATGCATCACAATCGGGGGAAGTCCCGTTAAGAAGGAAAATATTCTTTATATCCAAAACAAAGTGAAAAAAGATGTATTTGTAGGAGCTCAATATGGTAAGTATAAATTTTCTGATAAATCATGTTTTTTTTTCAAACTAAAATTTAAAAAATTAAAAAGTCAATAGTTTTTGCATGTGAGAATTTTATCATTATCATTGTTTTATATAACAAATTTATACACGTGTCATGACTATAAATATATTTTCATTATCGAAAATTTAGACTTTATCAGAAGCTATCAGTGTTTTTCTTTTTAAAGATAAAACTTTCTCAAAAATGTTTAGTGTATCAAGAGGCCAATACAGTTTTTTTTTGAAGAACCTAATCATTGGTTGGGAGATAACTGATGGGAAACGCGGTAACATTTATAAAGAACACATAAAAACAAAACTCCGAAAAGAACGCAATTTCCTTCATCAGACAGTCAGAAATACCATTTACGATGCAAATTAAAATTTAGTCTATTTATCTTTTAATCAGGAAGTTAAAAATACGAAGTAAAGAAGCAATTAAGTATTTCTAACTGTAATGTTTCACTCTTTCCAAAGCCATTTTTTTAATGTATACGATGTCTTGGAAATTCTTAATAAATATTCATATCCAAAAATACTTACATGCACCACATTGCTGTTAAGATCTAGTTTTAAAAAACTAGCCTGAGCCTATTAATACAACGACACAAAAAATTGTGAAATGACACCAAAAGAGGCCAAAATTGGACTTGCTCACTTACTCGTTTGCAAGGGCAAATGATCTTTTTCTTTCTTTTTTTTCTTAATTTGAGTTCCTGCATCCAACGTTCTTGTATCCAACGTAGTTGGAGAACTGCCTCAAACAACTCAAAATTGTCCAGAACAGCGAGAAAAAAGAAATCCGATTCGGTTCTACACTAGGCGAAGTTCCTCTCAATCTTTGCTTTGTTCTTGTTAACTGTTGCAAGCTGCGTTTCATTTTATTTTTACGAGCAAAAAAATCTACAAACAATACTAAAAATGCGTAAACTATTCTTTTAATATAAAAAAATGTAAACTTATATTTAGAAATATGATTTCATTCATAATTCGTTAAAAACGACTTAAAGGAAGACTAATTTTTTTATATACCATATAATGGCATAAATAGATTGATGAAAATACGATGCATATAGCTATCATAACTTCAAAATACTAATTATTTCAGAATAATGTAATTAATGACTATTTTTTTACTTTAATAGAAGCTTTGAATACTTGATATTAATTTTAAAGGCAAAAAAAAAAAGAATATATATCTATAATTGTTAGATTCCGCCGAATAAAGATATCTTTCGATAACTCCATATTTAGCCTACAAGAAATTTATTGTTTTGTATCTTTTTGCTATATTTTGGATCTCAGTCTATCTTAGATTGTTACCCATAAGTAGTAAGAGCAGGCATCAGTGCGGCGGAAGTGATGGGCAGTCAAGGGGTGCTTATTTCTGCCCCAACCGGAAGTTGCTTATTTCTGCCCCGCCTACAACCGGAAGTTGATTATTTCTGCCCTCCTATGAACCGGAAGTTGCTTATTTCTGCCCGCATGCTTATTTCTGCCCGCCTGAAAATCGAAACTTCGTCTGCAGCGTCATAGGGAGCTTATTTCTTTCTTTCTTAAGCCTAATATATTTTTAGTTTCGGTTTCTGTTTTTAATTTAGTTTCGTTTTTTTAAATATTATTTAATTTATTAGTTTTTTGAGGGTGGCAACACTTATTATTTCAATATTAGTTTTTAAGGATGGCAACACTTAGAAACTTTGTTATTTGGGATAGAAATTGTGTATTATGAACTTATGACGTCATCTTTTATTACATAATACATAAATGATACCATGCTTTTACTCTAGTGGCGCCATCTATGTGAGAATTTTAGAAATAAAATAACTTTAAATCTATTTCAATATTTAAATCTGTTTTTAATATTATTTATTAAATATAATTAAGGCTGAGGATCGAACTCACGCCATCAAAAAGCCTTCGTGGGTCAGTAGTTGGATATCATAACCACTGACCCACGAATGCTTGGTTAGATATGTGTTAATAAGTTAAACTTTTGTATTCTGAACACGTGTATAAATGAAAAGGATTTGATATCGATATCATCCTACAGTTTCATCGATATATTTTTTCACTTAACCTTTGACAGTTACTAAATAATTATTTCTGCCCCTCTTAATGTTAGTATAACTTTTTCTGGGTGGCAACGGTACTGACCATACACGTGTTAATTATTACACAATAAATAAATGATATCAAGCACATGCTTTTATTCTAATGGCTCCATCTATACTTAAATATNCAGATTTGTTGACCACTCTTTCAAGGGCACCCTATTAGGTGGGCCAACGTTGTTCGTAAATCCAATGCTATGTTTAATGTTAATCTAATATGTTTAATATATTTTAATATGTTTGTAAAAACTAATTCTCTTATATAAAAGTTACATAATTTTAAAATTATAATTATTTTGGAACTAATCTTTCATTTTTGTTATTACGATTGTTAATGAAGTGGTAATATTTTCCGTTATTCAAAATTTAATCATAATGTGTAAAAATTCCGATTATTTTGAATTTATGCTTAAAAAATCTGTTATTTTATCCAAAAAAAATAGAATGCTCAAATCTTAATATGTTTTATCAAAAATTTAACTTAAAGAAAGCTAAAACAATTTGATTGCAAAATTCTAATTCACTATTATAGTCAACTACAGAATGACGCAAACGATTTTTGTATTTCTCATGCTTTTCTTAACAGACCACTTTATAAATTTCAAACACACTTCCCTATTTTTGCTTTGTTTTTTGTTCTCAAACATTTCTTGTTTTGCTTATTTTTCACTCTGAATTTTCATATATTTTACTGAAATATCAATGAAAAATTATTACAATATTCAAATACATCTACCTATAACCTGAATTTCAGTAAAGTGCTTCCCATTTTTAAAAATAATTGCAGGTGAATCTGTTACTGGTGAAAGAGGGGAATTAGTGTTAGCTAAGCCTACTCCTTCTCTCCTTACTCACATCTTCCAAGATAATGATAACACCATAGTGAAAAAGACTTACCTTACCAAATATCCAGGTAATATTTACTTTTATGTCTCAGATAAGGGAAAATGTCACTATAGTTAGAGAGATTTTGCATAGCGACTGTCATATGTCAACCGCTATAAACCTTATAATCTGCTTCTTAGAGAAGCAGCGATTAGTAGGAAAATTTTGGCGCATGCGCTATGAAGCACAAATAACGTTACTGTTAGAGTTTGTAAAACTATAACGCTTCGCAAAATCTCTCTAATGTCCTTAGAAACTGTTTTCTTCTTTTCCAATACATCTGTTGATCCAATCAATATCCAATCCAATACATCTGTTGATCCAATAAAAAAATCTTGCATGTTTTGATCCAATCAAAACATACAAGATTTTCGATAATGACCATGCTCAGCATATTTTTGGAATTCTTGTCGAAATTGGAGTCAGAAAATGAGCAGGTTAGGAATCGTAAATTAATATTTAAGCAAGTAAAGAAGAAAAAAGTTTTCATATCTAACGGGACTGATAACATCAAAACCTGTTTGATTGTTGCAGGAAATGGAAAAAAAATGAAAAGTAATAATTAGAAATGCATTCAAATTTCATCGGAAAATCAAACTGGTTTTGTTTTTCGTGATGTTTTCCATCCCACCTTCCGCACTAGTGTTTCAGATTTTGTTTTTGTAACTTGCATTATAATTTTGTCTATTATCTTTTCATTCTGGACTCAGCTTAAAATGCACCTGAAAAAAAAACAGAGTTTAAGAAAAAATATGAAAAAGGGACACAGATCTGCGTCAAAGGATTGAAAGCGATGATTAAGGAACATCGTGTATCTGTATATTTTCATTCAAAACAGATCATTTCAATTTTACGGGTGATCAGGTATGGATCGAAGGTGTAAATAGTAAAGAACTGCTAGTTTAAAGCTAAGATATTTTGAATATGATTAATATGATTTTTGTTTTCAAGAAAACGTTTATATTAAAAAATGTAATGATGGTTTATCATAAAATATTCATATTCATTTCAGGTTACTGGTGTCAACACGATGAAGTATACATAAACCCTAAAACAAAAGGTCTCATTGTTATAGGCAGAAGGTATTGGTTCTTTTTACAAATTTGATTAGAATTTGCGAATCATTTTTAAAATATATTTGACTTTTTTTCCCCGAAACTAGGTTCCCGATTTACCTATAGTGGGCTCTAAAATATCTTATGGTGTACTAACTAATTCACGTGAAATAAAAGCCCAAACGACTTAGCGTTAGGGCTATCTAAAAAGTCAGTAACAGCTGAAAGCCGAAAGTATTATTAAATTAAGAAATTCTCTTTTTATCAGAAGAGCATTTCATTTTTCCACTGTGAATACAGGGTATTCTGTAATTACTGACCTTAATGTATACTTGTATGATCCTTTTCAAAAATAAAGTCAAAAACTGGGTACACATTTATGACTACAAATTAAATTTTAAACAAGCAAAATCATTTCGATTTTTCTACTGTGAATGCAGGTATTCCATAATTACCGACCCTAATATACAATTTTAAAAACAAAGTCAAAAACAGTATACACATTTAGGATTACAAACTAAATTTTAAACAAGAAAAAAAAGAAAGAAGAAAAACTTTTTAAAAACCTAATGAATCATTAAGGAAGAAAGCGAAATTCAACACGCATTCAAACCTATTTAGTTGCCGATGGAAAATTAGAAGTTGTCTTTAGCTTTCAATCAAACATGTTTAGATGTTTTTGACTTTGCCTTTTTCCCAATCCTGATTCGTCTGATTCTAATAACGTTTCTGCTTTTATCCTATCTTAAACTTTAACTTGCTACTCCAATGCGTATACTTATTTGATTTAATTTCTTAAAAAGGGTCTAAAAAGATGCATCAAAAGTGATGATTAAAGTAAACCCTGTTTTATATGCATAATTAAATTAATTATAATTCAATACACAGTAGATTAAAATATGATTAATATTTCAAAATAATTTTAAACTAGCAATAACACGTTCAAGTATTTGTTGTTCTCCACAAATCTTTGCTAACACTAAAAAGTATAAGGTTTTTTTTCCTTCTCACTTTTAAAACTCAAATTCTCTTCTCTTTCAACTCTTAAATATTATTTTGAAACATCATGCTTTTTGTAATTTGTTTTTTNTGATTAATATTTCAAAATAATTTTAAACTAGCAATAACACGTTCAAGTATTTGTTGTTCTCCACAAATCTTTGCTAACACAAAAAAGTATAAGGTTTTTTTTTACCTTCTCACTTTTAAAACTCAAATTCTCCTCTCTTTCAACTCTTAAATATTATTTTGAAACATCATGCTTTTTGTACATTGCATTTATTCATTTTGATCGTAATCATGGAGTTTAAACAAATTTATTAGAAGCCGTGGTGGCTTAGATGATAGAGCATTCGGATCCCGATGAGGTGACCTGAGTTCGAATCCCAACCATGGTTTATCGATACGAATTCCGCCCCCGACCCGCAGCGACCACAGTGCTGACGTAAAATATCCTCAGTGGTAGGCGGATCAGTAGTTAGAGTCCCTTTGCCATCAGTCTTACCGTAGAAGGCTTTCATGGTTTTCCTCCCCATGTAACGCAAATGCAAGTTAGTTCCATCAAAAAGTCCTCCGCGAAGGCAAATTTCTCCCAATATTTGATCCAGGAGTTCCGTTGTCTTCCGGATTGGGTTCAAAATTACAAGGCTGCAAAGTTGAAGATTAATAGTCGTGAATCCAAAATTGAGTCAGCTGTTCAACCGACACTTATAAAATAAAATTATTATCTCGATAAGTTTTTATATACTTTTAAATGGGAATCACTCTAATATTAGAGCAAGTCCCATATAAAAGTGTATAAAAACTTAATACACTTACAAAAAAAGATATGAATAATTTACTAACTTTCGAACGAAAAATACTTAGAATAATTTATAGCACAATACAGATAACTAATAATTATTGGAGAATAAGAGCTAATGATGAACTCGAAGCTCTTATCAACCATATAAACATTGTAAAATTCATCAAAGCACAGAGACTTTCATGGCTTGGTCACATTGAGAGATCACCTGACAACCGAGTAGTAAATATCTTGCATTTGCGACATGTGCCAAGAGGCAAACCAAAGAATAGGTAGATGGATGATGGAAGATTTAAAGATCTCCAACTGGAAGATCATGGTCAGGGACAGAGCTGTTGGTAGAAATATTGTGTGGCAGACTAAGGCCCACCTTGGGCTGTAGTGCCAATAAAGAAAAAGAAGTAAAGACATAAGCATAACCTATATAAAATATAAACATAAATAACACAAATTAATTGGGCGTTGCTATCTTTTTTTTGTTTCATTTAAAATAATTGTCCTCCACCCTTATTTTTCAGTGATGATACATTGAAGCAATACGGTGAACGCTTTGGTGCTGGAGATGTTTACGCTGCAAGTAAGAATATTAATCTCATAAAGCTATATATACCTCTTTATAATCAACATTAAAAATTTCAACGACTTATTTTTCCGATATGAGATTCCAAGACAAGGTACTTGGCTAGAAACTAATTCGCAATTTTTGTTACCATCTACATATTATGTAATTTTCCTATTAGGTAACTTGATATTAGATACTTATATTCCTATTAGATAGTTGTACCTTCCCTATTAGATATTTACTATAAAAGAACTCTTTTGTACAGGAAAACTGCTCCAAATTTATTTTGAATTTACTCATTGCTTTTAAAAAGTACACTCTGAAAACTGTAGTGTAATACCTAACAAATTCGGTGTTGAAAAACTTCTGTAAATAAATAGTTTACTTCAATTTAACACCAAATGAAACGCACATATACACTTTTTTTTGTCGTATGCCTGTTTAGGCACTGGGGGTGCGATTGTTCCTGTTTTTCAGTGGCTCCATCTATGGCCAGGAATTTAACTTCTGCCACTCCATTCACACAACCACAACCCGTTTATAAGGCTGATCACATTCACACACAAAGGAGAAAGGACATAGAGCACACAGAGAGAGAAAGAAACATCCATGCCTTGCTCTGGTGCAAGGACAGTTCCCTGCCCCCCTACACAGGCCGGTCGGCACATATACACTTTAAAGGGGGTATTTAAATTAAAACACAAATAGTGAAGGAATACCTGCATCACGCTCACACGTATTTACACTCATAAATTGTTTAAGCTTCCTAACGCCAATTTTTACTATATTTGAAAATCTTCAGATTACAACGATTGATTGTTTACTATCGGGCAACAAAGGTATAAGTTTTTTGCCATCTCACACGCTACAAAAACTTTACTCAGGAACACAATTACTGTTACAAAAAGAGTTTTCTTTTCTATTTATGTAATAAAGATTCTCTCATAAGAAGGTTTACAAAAATGTGTTAATTATATTAAGTTATTTTGTAATATTTAATTTCAATCAACTTCTGTTCTATTAGGCCTAATTCCATTAAGCCTATTCAATGCCCTGTCTGCCAGGTGAATTAACACGTAAATAACGTGTGTTGATAAACAAATTTTACTTAATGCATTAATATTTCTTGCTCGAAATTGTATCGCAAAACTAATTTACTGAATTTAACGATTACTTCTCATTATGTTGTCACAAGTTTAGGTATTACTAAAACACAAAAAATAGTGGCAATCACTTAACACCAAAAGAAAATTAATGGTACATTTGTGGTTACGACTCCAAGAACTATCCACGGCGTTTCACATCACTATTTTTNTCACAAAAATGTGTTAATTATATTAAGTTATTTTGTATATTGCCCTGTCTGCCATGTGAATTAACACGTAAATAACGTGTGTTGATAAAAAAATTTTACTTAATGCATTAATATTTCTTGCTCGAAATTGTATCGCAAAACTAATTTACTGAATTTAACGATTACTTCTCATTATGTTGTCACAAGTTTAGGTATTACTAAAACACAAAAAATAGTGGCAATCACTTAACACCAAAAGAAAATTAATGGTACATTTGTGGTTACGACTCCAAGAACTATCCACGGCGTTTCACATCACTATTTTTGGTGTAGTTGCCACAGATTAATATAGTAGTTCTCACAGGTTTGGTGTTCAAATACATTAAAAGTTTTCACAGTGTCAAAAAAATAAAATTTAAAATGATGAAACACTATATGATTTTTTTTTTTTTTTGACAATTTATTCTTATAAACGCTTTTTGTACTGATTAGAAATCGGATTTTAACTTGAACGAATGTTCAATGCGCCAAACAAAATAACAGACCACCAAAACTAACTTTTGACCTAATCATTAAATCTTCAGGTTCTAGAACTCCGGCTTAATTGTTCGAGCGGATAACCTCGAAAATGCTAATTAACCCCTTAACAATCGGTTAATTTCACGAAAACGGTCATAAAAGTGTCTATTTTTTTTATTAGTGCTATCTGATTAGTGCTGACATCTAGTTTAAAATAAACAAACTATCTACAATTTCCTCTAAAATATCCTGGTTCTGCCATCTGGTGTGTAAAATGAGAAATAAAATGCATTCCGGGCAAAAGAAATTAATTAGCTTTATTCTTATTGGCACGTTACAACTGAACACTCCAGCCCAGAAATATCACGGGAGCGAGAAATAGAGGGCAAAACTTCACCCGGTCATTTTCACGAGAGCGAGAAGGAAGGGGTTAATTAGAGCAAACGATATTTCAAGTTACGTAATCAAACACAAAAACGCACTTTGTCTGAGTAAACATACATTTTTTTCAACGGGTTAGGATTTCTAACTCCCAAAACATAGGGGGTAGCTACAATCTAGGAAATATGATCGACACAGTTGTTCAAGAGAACGATCAAAATTTGAACCCCTTAAATGTAAATTTTACTTTTAAAATATTTCGCCATGACTTGAGAACTTTTAAGGCGAGTTGAAAAATATTCGCATACAATTATAAAATTCCTTTATCTGAAGATAATTCTATGAAAAAAAAAAATAAGTTTTAATAAATATCTATTATTTTTTGCAATTTTATTTAATAGCAGTAGAAAAAATTTTGAATTGCTTACGTCAATTTAACGTACGTAATTTTGCACGGCAAAATACATAATTTAAGCGAAATTGATTGAACAGTTGCTGTGAAATAGAATTTAAAATATACGGCTTCTTTAAAATTTGATTTCTCAGGAATTATTCTACCGATTTCCCCCACGTTTTGTAATTTGCCATGTTAAGTTACATACTTTAAAATATCGTAAGAAATTGTATACCTTACAATTCAAAATTTTTTCAAAAAACAATGGAAGAAATAATTAAAAAAACAATGAATAGTTTATAAAAAAAAATTTGGAAATATCTTTGAAAACACGAATATTACAATAGCGTGCAAAAATTTTTCAACTCGCTAAAAAAATCTTGAGATACGGCAAAATATGCAAAAAGTAAAATTAACATTAGGAAGTCCAAGCTTTGGACCGCTCTCTTGGTCAAATTATGAGGACCATACTTTCCAGAGTCCTGCTACAACCCTATGTTTTTTTCAGGGGAGGGGGTCCGAAACTGGAATCCATTTGAAAAAAAAGCTATGTTTATTCCTAATTGTCTGCACCAATTAATTATCATATTTCAGGTCACCTTCTCAAGCCATTAAGATTGAGTCCTAGAACGTGAAGATTTGATCATTAGATCAAAAGTTATTCAGGGTGATCCGTTTATTCTTTTTCCATGTTCCGACCGTAATCCCTGTGTGTATTTCTATACATAATTCTTGTCATTATATATATATATATATATAGATAGATAGATAGATAGATAGATAGATAGATAGATAGATAGATAGATAGATACATACATACATACATAAATGCTTAGAAAATAAGCTCTCTCAAGCAACTTAAAAACGTGGCTAAACATTACATTGCTCCAATCCCATTTAATTCTTGTTTCGAAAGTGAGTCGAATCCCGATAAAAATCAATTCAAACTTTCTGGAGAATCTAATATTTTCATACGAATGAATTCATATAGTATAATACAATTCGTGTATCAAATGTTCATTTCATGCATAAATTATTTTCTTGAATGAACAAATTGTATGAATTTTGTAAAAGTATACATCAATTTTACAAAGGTTTACAAAAATTGCTGTTTTTTTCTTTTTTTTTAATTTTTACTCAAAATAAAATCGAACTTTCTAGAGAATCTAATATTTTCATACGAATGAATTCATAGAGTATCATACAATTCGTGTATAAACTGTTTCTGCATTTCACGTATCAATTATTTTCTTCTATCCACAGTTCATGACATGGAGGAGATTCAGGATTATATCTGTGTAGGTCAAACAAGAGATTCAGATGGAGAACACAGGGCTGTTCTCTTTATCCGAATGAAGGAGGGATACACTTTCACTCCAGAATTCAAAGAGAAAGTGGAACAAAGGATATTTGATGAACTGTGGGCTGACTGCGTACCTCAAGTCATACTTGAAATTCCCGAAGTGCCTGTAAGAATTATTTTTGAACGCTTTATATTTAACTACTATATATATGGCTCCTACAATCGCCCGCCTATTTGATGTAAACGGGACCCTCTTGAATTGATTGTGACCTGCCAGAGTTTTTTGTACAGACATATAACATTTCATTTTGTTTTTGGTCTATTCATTCCCCATTTGCAACCCATGTTTTTCGACCCAATTAAATTGAATTTCGACCCAATCATTCGTTTATAAGATTTAAATCAATCATGCGTAAAAAATATCTTTTTTGTTTCAGGCAACTTTTGTTGATTTCGATTAATGATGAAGATACAAACACGGTTACTTATTTGCTAACTTTAGATTTTTTTTGGTTCTATTATAAGCTTCTTTATCAATGTGTTTTCTATTCAATTTCAAACTAAAATCTCTGAAAGTAATTTGTTTTTACAGTTAGACATTGTGTACGCTATTTACTGACTGACAATAAAAAAGATTATAACAATTTAAAAAAGGAATAGATAAAAAAAAATATTTCGAAAGTAATATAGATGTATTGTTTACTGTCTCCTGTTTTGAAATTAAATTAACTTATTTTCCCCAACTCTCACAATTTGTAACAAAGTTCATCAACAGATAGCGCTACTAATTGAAAACAATATTATACAGTATCATCAAATGAACAACTATTTTCAGCAACAACAATATGAAATCTGAGAATAAAGGCAGCATAGCTAAGGTAGTGCAAATATTTTTGTTGGAGTAGTCTGTCATTATTTTAAAGTTTCCCAATCAGCAGTGACACTCGTAGCCAACTTTTAAATTTGGAAAAATAAAATGATCTATTTTAATGAGCAGAGTACATTTCTATCACATCTCATGTATTTTTAATTTATTTTTTAAATTGCATTTTTGGGACATCTGATCTATGTAATAAAAGTTTCGCATTTTTATTACTTATATATAAAACGGGTATTCTCGCTCGAAAATTCTACTAACAGTTGTTTAGTCATTGGCAAGATTTTTTTAAATTTATTGTTAAACTGAGTGGCTTTATGAAACTACTGACTTCAAATTATTAAAGCTAATGAAATCAGAATTTTCTGAATTGCTGATGAAATATATTATAATTCTGTAGCTCATCAAATGCTCCGCACCTAGTTTTAAATGTAGAAATCTCCTATTTAATTTTTAGTAAAAACCTGAGTTCGCCTTTAAAATTGTCATACTACGTATGCTTTCAATGAAATTCCAAGAAATTGTTTTGAAAATGCATTTTCCCTACTATCTTTTCAAACATAATACGTGATGAAATGAATTAAAAACGTCTTTTTTTACTAATACAACTTACATTAACATTAGAAAATTTCGTATATTATTTTAATTTTTTTAAATACATTATTTTTACTAAAAATACATGTGTGCAAACGTTTTTTTTCTAATTATTTTATTTATAAAAAATATTTCAACCACAACCACCAGTTACTAACTTAAGCCACCATGAAAATTGAGATTGCATAACTTCAAGACGAACGTCGTGTCAATGTTGTCATCATTGTCCGTCATTGTCAGCCATCATGAGCCACATTGACTTATATTACCCCTGGTACATTTAGAAAGACTGACGAGATAGAAAATAGCTTATTCTTCCCAGGTAGCAAAATGATATTATTTAACATTAAAAAGATGCAATATAATACTGCAGCTCGAGAAAACGCTACACTCTTGAAACCTATCTTCTAATATTAGAACTAATATCATATAACATTAGTGTTCAATCCAAAATTCAAACTTTTAAAATTATCATCTATTTCATCACATTTGGTCCAGCGTCACTTTTTATGAAAGACTATCCCATATCATTAATAAATAAACATTTATTTATAAAAGAAAACAATAAATTAATTATTACTTAAAATATCATGATTAGTCAATGCAATTTTATGCCAGAAAACGCAAAAAAATACTAGTGGAAGTAAATTCTGTTCGCGAACGACAGAACTCAAAAAATGAAATCGAGTCAATCAATGAATCGAGGTACTGAATTCAGTGGAATTCCAATGAATTCAGTACCCAAGTAGCACAGGGATATTGTAGCAGCTTTAGTCTACATCGACCGACATTGTCAATATTGGCGAAAATCGACATTGTGTGTACGATATTGTACGATTCCCGTCGATTTCACATTAAAAGTCTGTTTGTAAAACTTTTCATTTTAAACTTTATTGTGTTCTTAAATCAAAATTAATCATTTAAAAGACAAAAAATGACGTCAAATTGTTATAATTCCAAAAAATAAATTTAAAATATAAATTTAGAGATATCCGAACTGCTGAGAGATATCGATCGACGTTCCCCAACGTTTTTACAATATCGAACAATATTGTTTCGCGTTATTGAATATACGTTATAAAAGGGGTCCATTTTTATGTAGTACAATGTTTCGCTACGATATTGTGCAATGTTCAAAGCTAAGTTTTTACGATATCGTTTTCGGGAATTGTGCTATTTGGGTACTTTGATTCATTAAATTTACAAACTGAATGAGCAAAAATTTGCCATGTAGAGTAATTAGAATAATTAGGCGGTCACAATAACATCAAATTCAATTAAGACCACATTCATTATAGCACACAGAAGAATCACCTGTGATTCCTTATCACCTCTTAGACCATTTTACACTGTGTATATTTTTAATATGCGTACAAAGCATTATCACGCATAAACATTTTTAAAAAAATTAAAAAATCTTTAAAAAATTGTTATTTTTGGAATTTTATTCAAGTTGTTTCTCTTTTCTTTTCAGTACAATCTAAACAACAAGAGAATGGAAAGTGTTGTGAGAGCCATCATTGCCACAAACAAGATACCTGAAGTGAATACCATCAAAAATCCAAACTGCTTACCTCATTTTTGCAACATACCAGAAATCGTTGATTTTATGAAGAACTAAGATTTTATGAAGAACTAAGTCTTAAGAACAAATGTAAAACTTTTGTGTGTAACAGAATTACTGTAGCTTTTAATAAAAAAAAATTCTCTAACAACCTTAAGACTTAGACAAAATCACTTTGATTCTTTTTTTAACCACTTAAAAATGAAGAAAAAGAAAAGAGCATAAATAAAAAAAAAACTTAATGAACATGTTACCATTAGCTTATTTTATATTAGGTGTATTGTTTGTTCCATTTTGTACAAAAATTGTTGCTAACACTACGATTCCAACTTTACTTTTAACAATTTTATTAACAGAGTGACACAAAACGGGAATTTTTGAAATGCGTAGTGGCCGTTTTTAGAAGGTGGCAGTACTGCGGGATAGTAACATTGAGCAAGTGAACATGTTACTATTTAAGTAACCATAGATCAGTGGAACGGGCAACAGCATGCGTTCACCATGAAAAGTTCTATAAAAACAGTTTTATAGTTTGGAAGTTTTTTATAAAAAGTTTTATAGTCTTATATAAAAAGTTTCATAGTTTTATATAAAATGTTTTATATTAAAAGTTTAATAGTTTGAAAATTTTATATTGAAAGTTTTATAGTTTGGAAGCTGCGCAAAGAGAGTTTCGATGTTTTAACGACTAACTTAAAATGATATGGGGCCGTCTCGTCAAAGGTTTGTGGCATAAAAAGTTGGATAACTGGTTTGAAGTGACTGGATTTGCCCTGTGGGGTAACTACCACTACGAAATTAAACATCAATTCACTGGTATAAGACATACTAACTTGATTCAATCATGATAGATGACTTTTATAGATGACTGTTGGCATGGTTTATAACTCCTCCCCCCACATTGGTGACCCGGACGTGATTTGAACACGCAGTAACGTCCAGTTCGCAAAACTCTTGACAGTAACTCCCACTTCAATCTGGTAACGCCTACTTCGTTGGATGGTCCACATTGAACAGTTGACTTGCTACTTGTTACTGCGACATTATCAACCACCTCAGGCTGTTGCTACTCAGTCTCGTCTCGATTAAACACAACGACTGCCTGCATACACTCCATTGCTAATGGCAGCACAGGAGCGATTACGACTGTGAAGTTAATACACCTCTCACATTCAGCACTCAAGAACCCGGTGACCTTAAAAACCAGCTCTCATGGTCTTTCAAAAGTACAGCAACTAGTGGTATCCGTTCATCGAATTCTATCCCTGATAAAATTCTGGTGGGGAAGTATTGTGGCATAACTACCACTACGGAAATTAAACATCAATTCACTGGTATATAAGACATGCTAACTTGATTCAATCCTGAGGTACCTTTTGATAGATGACGGTTGGCATGGTCTATAACTTCTCCCCCCACAGCCCTAAAGATGAAACCAATGAATGAATGAAACAATGAGGAATCTCGACACCAGATTCCAATAATGCATTCGTACGAGAGAGAGGCATCTAAAACAATTTCTTTGTAAAATCTAGTTTTTTAACGGCTATTTAAGTATTATATAGTAAAAAAATCAGAAAATAAATATAAAAAGACAAATAGACTGGCTTCTGAGTAACTCAAATATAAAGTGTCACTATATTTGGTTGTCGAAAGAGCAAATTTAATTTAATGGTGATCTTAAGACACTACGTGTGAATGCTATCACTTTACTAAAGTTTCAAATATAGACAAAGCGTTAGAAAATGGAGGCATGTGCACCCCAATAATTTTTTACTAGTTGTTGCCAGGGATCGATGAAGACAAATTCAGGCCCAAGGCCCACAAAATTTTCCGGGCCCCAAACAAAATATTTTGAAATTAAATTTCTGAAGAGTAGTCCTAACAATAAGAAGAATGTATTGAACTGCATGATTCAAGAGAAATATTCTAAAAAATTTTGAAAGCAGCCAATTGAAGATTATTTTTCTAAGATAAAGTTTACGCATCTAAATATTAAAACAAAATATAAAACAACAAAACAATGTCCTATGAAAATAAAAATAGTTTGGTGACTACAAACAATTGAAATCAGATGTAGATTGTAGCCTTCCATCTACCACTTTACATATTTGTTAAGAATAAGCTTTTAGTTCTTGTGGACACTAATCATTTATAAGAGACTTTGCTAATATGCATTCTCGTTGCGTTTGCTTAAGCCGTTAGAGTAAAAATAGCACCAATTAAAATTCAGCTGTACTTACGAATTTGATTAGAGCAATGTTTACTCGAGTTTTGGTTTATCACAATATAAAGAAAATTTGAAACAAAAAAAATGCCTTTTTTGAGAGAAACTGTTTCTTTCAGTATTTATTTTTTTTAAAGTAATATTACTTACTTTTTACTAATTTTTGAGTCCCCCCAGAAAGTGTGGTCCCTAGGTTCGTGCCTATTGGGCCTAGGTGATAATCAGGCCCTGGTTGTTGCAAGGGATCTCAATTGAAATGAAGTAAGTCTTTTTTGTTAATAAATTTAAGAGCAGCATACTTTGGCATGTTTCAATGAGAAAAGATCAAAAACATGTTATTAAAAGGTGAAATGTGGCATGAAACTTGGAAAAGACCAAATTGCACCAAACGCAATAAAAATTTCAAAAAAAGTGGCAGAAAAATATTGTTGCACTAAGTATAGAGGATCTCATGTTTAGGATTTCCCACAATTAGACTCAAATAAAAATTGTAATAAGTAGATGGGTTTTTTTCATTGTCCACCTGGGTTGACATTTTGTCAATTCAGGCGTATTTGGGCAGATCTCACTCTTTCAGGGACCAACGTTGGTTTAGGTGGGCCAACGTTGCTTCTACAGTAAGGACAGATAGTACTGAGAATGAAAGGACATCCATGCCTTGCCCGGAATTCAAACCCAGAACTTTTCTGATCCAAGGCCAGTTCCCTGCCCCCTACATAATCCGATCGGCTTATATCTAGATGTGATTTTCTTAAACTTACCCAAATAAAATTTAAAAGCAAACTATACCTGGAGTTTACCCCCCTTCCACGATGTGAGCTTCAGCTACCATTTTGAATTTACCGAGAGAGAATGGGACAGTTAGAAGAAGAAAATGTAAAGGATTTAGTCAAGATGAGGAATGACAGAAATACAATTTTCGATTAGAACTATTTTCGCGTCTGAAATACGCACATAAACAAATCAGAAATTATTTCGACTGAATTTTTTACTCTTCATCAACGAAAACAAAGTCATTAAAACTATTAATTCAAATGGTTAATGCTAATAGCATTTTTGTGCATTAAAAGTGCAATTTTGTACTAATACCTATCTACACATCTGATATATCACTATATAGACCAACAAAAAATTGAATATGCATTTTTTTACATTTAATCGAATGACATTAAAACCAAGTCGATAATTTTAATACCTTAAACGTTATTAGAGCTTCTAATATTAACCCTTTACACTCCGAGTATTTTAAAAGACTATTTGAACATATGTAAACACAAAATCCACAACATATGTAAACACAAACACATATGTAAACACAAAATTAAAACACATAATATGATATTTTCACATAATTTTTGAAATTGAAATTAAAATAAATAAAATGAAAAGGAAATACAAAAATAGATGGAAATGAAAATATCTTAATAAAATAATGGATCATTTATTATTAAGATATAAAAAAAATTTATTTTAGATTGGTGACTTTTGATGCAAAGGTGGAATTGGAAAGCTAATGGTTAAAAATAAAATTTTTCACTTATGCGGAAAACTCTTATAAGTTATTCGAAAATATTTGTTATAACAACTTTTTTATGATTTTATTCGATTTGGTGTGAAACAAAACATTGGATTAAATACTTAGCTTGTTTTTATGGCAAAGATGTAATAAAATAAAAGTATTTCTAAATGAACTTCAATAAATTACGATATTTATGTGAGATTTTGCGATTCCATTTCATAAGATTTATCATTCAAGATGCAAGATTTATTTCTATATTTAGTGATAGAAAATTTTATTCATATATTGCGTCAATTTGCTAAGACAAATTTTAAATAATAATACTAGCAGCTTACGCACTGCAGATCAGAAAACCTAAAAAAAAATTTACTCAAAAATAAATACTTTATCGTTCTTACTTTAGGAATTAAATTAAGTGAATAACATTTCTTTAAATAATTTAATATTTGAATTCTATAGTTTCATCTTTATTACAGACTATATCTTACGAAAACAAACCCAGAGAGTCAATCATATTTTGCTACGACATCAGAGAGAATATCAAAACTTCTTCTTTTTTTATGATACAGGGTGAATAGTTTCAAAAAGTGAAACCGAGATTCCTAAATTAATAAGAAAATTAAAACAACTCTATTTAGATTTCTGGTCTGGTTTCTGAATATTTTCAATGCTCACTATTTCAAAGAATTAATTAATATTCTCATACATTTTAAAATTTATGTATTTAAATTGAAATTTAATATATTTTAAATTGAAATATACTAATTTAGATAAAATTCTATTTTGTTCCTACTTTTATTAATAAAGTTTAAGTTTGAATTTTTAATTTTCACAAAATGCTCATCAAAATCGTTATTTTTTACCTTATACTTGACCGTTTTACTCGTTTCTTTTCAAAATAATTTTTTTTAACTATTTACTCGTTACGTATGCTTAAAGTACTTTAGCTACGTTCCTACAGATATAGATTTAAAAAATATTTTTAAAAAAAAACCTCTTTTGCAGCTTTCTCATACTTCCGCTAGGTAAAAATAATGAGTTAAAGTAAAAGTGAAATTCTATTGTATTGTCCATTTCACTTTAATTTACGAAAGGAAAAAAGCTTCTAATTTAGTAAATGTATTTTAAAAATAAATACACACTAATTTTTAAATATGTGAATGGGAAAAAGTCACTGTGACATTAAAAATAATTTCATTCTTCTGATTTCTACAACTAAACTTTAGTCGATTGTTTATCTTTTCCTAACCTTGTCTTGTCTACTGTCAATTGTTTGTTCTGTTTATGTTTCCTCATCCTTTCCCTTTTGTGGTGTATTTATTTTCTTCCACCCCACCTAAACACATGAAACAATGCCTATTCATTAACTCATTGTAAGCCAAAATTCATCATAATACTTTATCATGACTTCCAAAAAACCTAGGGATGATTCAGCTACTGATTCTCAGGATGATTCCGATTTAGATGGCCGTTCACCTAATTCTAAACTAGGCCGTAACTCTGGTCCGTTCTTGAAGAAAATCAAAATCAAAGGATATGATACCACCGATGCCTTACCAAAGAAACTAAACTTTACTTTCCTGGACATTGTTGGCATTGTGATTTCTCTCGCAAGTTATGTTCTAGATGTCTGCTTTGACGTTTTAGTTGCTTTGATGCACTATGTTAATGGAAATACTTGGTGGTTTACTTTAACTGTGATTTTTATAGCAATTCCATCCCTTACAACGACTGGATTCAGTCTCCGGTGGTACTTAGTAGATGCTGATACGAAAGATTTACCAAGAGTGTCAATGACTCGATGGATACTTCGTATTGTGTTTTTGTTGTTGCAAATGGGACCATTATTAAGGTAATATGCTTAGTTTTAATAACTCTATTAAACCTGACCACTATTATGTGTAAAATTGTTCACCTTCATTATGTGTATACCAATTTCTGTTATTATTCAAGCTGAATTGTATTTGTGGTACATAAAGATACCACTATACCTTCGAGAATTTATCATGGGAAGATTTCCGTAGTTGTAGTTTATTTACGTCTTACTAGACCTGCGCAATGAGCTATTGGCGATGGTCTGGGAAACATACATGAGGATGATCCGAAGACTTACCCTTGCCATCACAATTTTGATCCTCTGCCAAGGGGATGGCACCACTGCTTCAGTAGCCCGACTACCTGTGCGCAAAGTTCGGCGATTTATGATAAAACAGTTTGATGAGGACCAATACCGCACACACTCGATCCCATCGTAGACTGTCAACAGCCAGTGATGCTCCTGCAGGACAGAGGATTTCTGTGTTGTGATCTGTGGCAAAATATTTGCCAAGTCTTGAGAACTTATGGGCACCGGCCCTTAAGAAACAGAAAAAAAATAATGACATGACAGAAAAGAACTCCTTCAAAAGGCATAACTTGCATCCGCTCCCTGGCAAACGTGTACATTTTTTTTAATTTGCTGGTTTAAAATCCATTGGGCAGTTGCAATTTATGCAGCAGATTACAATGCAGAAATATCTCCCTTTTCATCACTAATTCTCTCTCACCTTCATAAGTAATTGAAAATGTTAGTGCAGAAAAGGTGAACTCAGAGTGCAATATAAAACACTTGTCATTAGGGTCTACAAAAGTAGGGATTCAAATTTTTTATTGCGGAAATTTTAATTGGCTCTCCAGTTATTCTGTGTGTATATCTAAAAAAGGATTAGAACTGATGAAGTTTTTATGAATTCCATATACTTTTTACTGAATGTTAACAAAACTTTCTTGCTGAATATTAACTAAAAGTAATGGTCCTATACTATAATGAAAAACTCTGTGTAATTTAAATATAACATAGATAAAAAACTTTTTTTAACCACCAGTGTAGGCCAGTTCGCACGCCATAAATGTTACTCCCTATGGAAATAATTAAGCGAAACCTATAATTTTTTTTTTTTTTATAAAACTGTAGACTAAACCCAATGTGGACAGCCGAAGTTAGTCAAACTCTTCTCGACTCTTCAGTATATTCAAGATACTGAGGAGGAGGGTATCTTGAATATATAAAAGAGGTCAAAAAAGAAAATACCTTAAACATTACTGTCTAGACAAGTGGGACTATGTCTCCTATGTATTTTTTTACTCTCACTGGACTGTCGCTGAAATCGAGAGTTTATAGGACTAATAATTCAGTAGTTATAAGGGCAGAGATTTAGTGTGTATAAAATACAACTTTTGATTATACATGTATCTGAAATACTTATTTAAATATATTTTTTTTACCAATATTGTTGCATATTTGACCAATATTATTACAAATTTTTCCTAATTATATATTCTATTCTAATATTATATTATTCTTATATATTTTAACAATATTTAGATATATTATTTATTAATCTATGTTTTTTTTTTTAAAACATTTATGTATTTTTACACTGCATCAAATGAAAGAAAAACAGAGTTAATAGGATTAATTGTTTAATGTTTTAATTAATGTAATAATTGTTTTTATGTATTGAAAGTGCAGTTTTGTACCTATACCTAACTGCACACCTGACATTGCCATATAAACAGATGAAATATTGGACTTGACGTATTCTTCATGCTAAAGACCAAAATTTTACTGATTGGCTCAAAATTTTGCCCATGACTAAAGTTGTGGTCTATAGTTAATCAGTTAATGCATTATTTATTAAAAGTTGATTATTTCATGGTTACAAATCTTTTTTAATTTAAAAAATTTATCATTGTTTAGGTATTTTGATTCTTTATATTATGGGTTAAAAAGTAATCAGAGCAAATCAATAGTTGATAAGCAAGAGAAATATTATAAGCTTATGATTTATGAAGATGCTGATGCCACTTTACTTCGCTTATTTGAGTGTTTCATGGAATCTGCACCTCAACTTGTACTTCAACTTTACATTTTTTCTATAACCCATGGAGAAACACCTGATTCATATAGTTGGACTGGTATGACATTTTCTACATTATTATTGATACAGTATCTATGATAAAAGTTTTTTCAGCATAAATATTATGTTTACGTTTTTTGCTTCAATTATTTCCTGTTATTTAAATTTTTTTCTAACGTTATATTTTTATTTTTTTTTTGTATTTCAATCTTCTATTAATGAAACTGTTTAATAGTGTTGTAGCATTTTCTCTTTAAAATTGATTTAAATTTGCACAGATGATTTAGTGCACGCTTAATATTTTACTAACTTGGTTGGAAAGAGAAAATGGTTCAGAAAATTTTTTACTTAACGCTCCTTGTAAACTCAGTCTGAAACACCTTGTACACCATCCTGAATTGCATATCTTAAAAATTCAGGTATTCAGATATAACATTCAGATATTTATCAGATGTGCTATTTAAATTGTGTTTATTGATAATGTGTTTTTTTATTGTGTTTATGTAATGGTGTAACATTATTTAGAAATAAGTTGTTTTCTTACAAATTTCCCTTTATAATTTTGTGTTATTCAATTTAAAATATTAAACTTCACTGTAAAGTAGTGAAATAATTGAGTCTTATGTATGTGAATTCATTGAATCTTATATTGTGAGATCATATTGAATCCTATGTATCCATTCAAAAACCCTCTTCTTTTTTTCTTTTTTTTTCTTTTGCTGCTTAAATGTTTAAAATATCCAATCCTGTTAAAATTAACTCGAAAAACATGAACTGTTATTTTATTTGTTAGACTAATCTGTTTTTGAAATCATTAATTTGGTTAACTGAATATTTCTGTCCAATATGACGAATCGAGTGACCTGTTATGAAGTCACCCAAATGGGTCATCAAGATGAAGTAATTAGAAGTGAAATAAGAATCCCCTAGAAGTAAACATCTCTCATGATGAATACTTCTAGGAGAAGAGTAAAGACCATGATCTGCAGCAGAATAGTCAAGTCTTTGCAACTTCCAGCAGTGCAAAAAAACTATTAAAAAACTTTTTTTTTTTAAAGAAAAAGAAACATCACATAAGGCCATTAATTTAAATGGTATAACTAGTAACTATCCCCAAGCTAATCTCTACCTAATCTTTTAAAAAAAGTTAACAAGTTTAAAATCCTTGCGCAAGCGATTGTAGTTGGTGCAACAGATCACAATATGGAAATATTCCTACTTCTAGTTTTTGCAAACTACAAATTACTGTAATTACAATTTCATTTCTTTTCAGTTCTTCCTGGCCCAAAGTGAATACTTTTTGGTCATTCAATTATTCCTTAAAATTTTTACACCTACTGTTATAAAATTTTTACTTAAAAATACAACTATTTGATCAAAATTTTTACTTATGATACAACTATTGTGAGGAAATTTTTAACTATTCTATTACTGCAATATTCAATAGAATACAACTATTCTATTAAAAAAATTTACTTACAGAGTAACAAAAGATTTGGTCCCATGTTTTTTCCATAACCAGGATTCGTTTGTATGTGTAACAGTAAAAGCTACATTTTGTAAATAGTTCCATATTTTGTATGTATATATTATACAATTTTTTACTTTTATTTGGGCTCATTTTTTTTTTAATTCTTTGTATCAAAATATTCTTCCTTTCATTTTTCTAGAATTGATCCAGTTATTTTCTATGTTTTCATCTTTGATGTCCATGGCTTGGGCATTAGGATCCTATCAACGGGCTTTGCGCTATTCTCTACAAGAAAAACAAAATCTGAATATCTGTGCCATGATGGTGCAAGTTGTTTGGCGCTTTTTAGATATTGCAGCGAGAGTTATTGCTCTTGGCCTCTTTGCTTCTGTTTTCCCATCCTATTTTTTTATGGTGTGTGCAGCACATTACATCATAATGTTCATTTGGATTCGCTCAATGGGCACTGAGTTTTGTGAGAATCAGTAAGTATTGTATTCATTATAAATTATGATTAGAAAAATTATAATTTTGAGTTTACTGAAGGTGCTTTTGCTACCGCTTTTGAGTTTACTGAAATGCTTTTGCTACCTGTTGTGATAAAAAAAAAATTCTACTTTAAAAAAACTTTTGGGAATGAGTTTTCTTACTAATTATTTCTTAATGTTTTCTTTTTTTCTAATATTTTCAATGCTGACAGATTCATCAGCGCGGCTGAAATTTAAAAAAAATTTCATCATTGCTCCAGTAACTCTAAGATTTCACTTGCCTATATGATTCGTTTATGTGCCTGAATTAGATTTTTTTTTAAAAATTACTTTCCAGATTGGGAAACAAATGTTACCTTAGAATTTTTAACTTAAAATATTCAAATGAATCAATTAACCCTTTGACTTAGATAGGACACTGGTGACCTTTCGATATATTCTTTTCTAGTCTAATAGTTACTAAAAAAAATTCTGTTAGATTATCAAAATTATAATTGCTCTCTAAATATAAAATCCAAAGAAAAAAAGTAGTTTGAAACAAAAAATTTTGTTCTTATTCTAAAATTTATCAATAATTGATTTTGCAAATTAACTCAATTTCAATGATGAAAAACTGTTAAAAAACTGTTAGTGTTAAAAAAAGTTTGCCTTTAACATTGGAAAAGACACCATTGTTTCATGCTGTATTTCATAACCGTAAATTATTAAAATGCTGAAATGTCATATTTTCCCTTATTTGGACTTAAATTAATACAAAAGAGTAGGTTTAATAAAAATGCTGCATCAAGGTGTTAAATGTTACAATAGGTAACATAAGTGGATCATTGTAATAAAAATTAAAAAGAAACGAAAAATGTTAATGTAAGATGAAAAATTACAGAATTTGTATGAACAATTATGATAAAGTATGCTATTTGTGACAGAAACATGAACCAAAATAAATAACTGAAATCTAAATCAACATACAACAAGATGATAAACTGCTGACTGATATTTATTTAACTGAATTCAAATTTCATTTGATTAATGGAGGTCCTTTGGTTCAGGACTTCTAATTTTTATTATCCTTTGATATTTGATTTTTTTTTTTTTTTTTTTTTTTTTTTTTTTTTTTTTTTTTTTTTTTTTTTTTTNTTATTAATTTAATTTGTGTATAAAGGTGGTTTATATTTCAGTAATTAACACTTTTTCTCCTACTTTTTCCCAGGGTTCGTTGATTTAAATCAGCTTGATTTAAATCATGATTTAAATCCAATGATTTTTTTAAAAAAATCATTGATTTAAATCAACTAATTTTTTTATCTATATATATTGATTTTAAAAGTTAAAAAGCAGTGTTTTAAATTTTTGATACTTATATTACTTTCTTTTCTTGATATTAAAATTTAATTTAAATAAATTTCTGCATTAATTAATTTTAGTTAACGAAATTACTTTCTTTCTTGGTGTATGTCAAATTCCAACACATTTGAAATTACATTTTTAAAAATCTTTTGATTCTTGAGATTGAAAGTACAGATTAAAGAAAACATTTAATGCTGTCTTAATGTAGACTTGCATAGCTGTATAAAGTAATTAATAAACATGAATTTTTTTCAAAAAATTATACAAATAATGTTAATTAAAATTCTACCTTTTGAATGAAAAAGCGTGAATTAAAATCTACATCATATTTTATTGGTGGAAAATGTATATTTCTGAAACTTGAGGTTATATTAAAAAGAAATTACCCTAATATGCCAAAAAAAGAAAAAGAAAAAAAAAGGGCTGAGGAATTCAGATGTTTTTTTTTTTTTTTCCTCCNTTTTTTTTTTTTTTTTCCTAATGTAGTGTCATTCTTCCCTTTCAAACTCTTTCCAAGTCTATTTGATGCAGTAGGGTTATTAACTGGTATTTTTTTCGCATAATATGTTTACAGTATCTTTGACATTATCTGATTTTCTATAAAGAAATTTTGTGAAAAAAAATTCCAATGAATACATAGATTTTCTAATTTTTTTTTANTTCCAATTTTTATTATGCTTTGATATTTTATTTTTTTTTATTTATTACAGTACGGAACCCGTTATCCGGAAAACCAAAAAACCGGAACGAAATTCAATAAATTTTCCAATTTTTTTTTTTAAAAAATTTTTTTTTTTCCTCATAAGATTTTAGGATTTTTCTTTCTTTTGTTAAAGATGTTTACCTTACCACCATTTTCGAAATAATCATTAGTGTACTACTTCATCGTTTTTTTCTTCTTTTTAAGATTATTTCCAACTATTTTTGTTTTTTTTTAGTTGGGTTTAACAATAAAAAAACGGCTTTATGTATCGATTCAGAAAACCGAAAAAATCAGTTATCCGGAATAGCGATGGTCCTGATCGTTCCAGATAATCGGTTCCCTTCTGTAATTTAATTATTTGTGTATGAAGGTGGTTTTTATTTAGGTTATTAACACTTTTTCTCCTACTTTTTCCCAGAAACTGTTATTTATATTTTATGAATTGCCCACTTCCGGCTCCATATTTATAGAGCTAGATTTTTATTTTTAGAGCTTTATTTTTATTATATTTATAGAGCTTTATATTTTTATTATATTTATAGAGCTTTATATTTTTAAATAAAAAGCATTTATTTTAGTGGAAAGGTATAGTTTAGTTTTGTTTCATTAATGCATAAAACTTATGTCATTTTTATTCATTGCAGATGCGGAGAATTTTTCTACAACCTAGTGCTGGGAGTAATGTTTATTTTTTGCTATTTCAATCCCAAAGATAGCCCAACACGCAAGCGGTTCACTTTTTATTATTTTCTAACATTTTTGGAAAATTCTGCATTTATGTGCATTTGGTTTATACATAGTTCTCCTAATATTCCATATAAAATTCCAGCCATGTTCCTACAGTTTTTGAGCTTTATGTTAGGAATAATTATCATGGTTAGTAGAAAATTTTATTGATTGTTTATTATTGATTAATAAATATTAACTCCATCATTTTACAGCTAAAACAATCCTTTTAAGTATTATTTCTAATTCATGAATTTTTTTTTTTCATTATAAAATCACAGGTCTTTAGAAATCAGATAAAATCACAGATATATATACTTATTACAGTAGTATTATATTATTTTTTAATTATTTCCTCGTTGAAATAAAAATAGATAAGTTGTTAAAGTATGATGTTAAAAATTGCTATCTTACAATGAATTAAGATTTAAATAAAATCACATTCGTTCTATTCACAAAAAATGCAATTAGAATACTGCCTATTTACAAAGTTTTCATATCATATGGTATTAGACAATTAAGAGTTCATTCTCCTAACTTTATCCATAAAATGAAATATAGTGAAACTTTTTTCGTTAACTTTCCTTTTTATTAATTGCACTATTGAAAATATTATAAAACTGGATTAGAAACTTAAATTGTATTTATTTATTTTTATTCAGGGATGAAGGACTTCCGCGAAAAATCGGAAATCCGCTTTTTTTCTCCTAATTTTTAAAAATTCCGACAATGTTCCAAAAACGTAAATTTTGGGGAGTCCAATACGAGAAACCCAAGCAGCCCTAACCATAGTCAAACTTTAGACGAACATCCCCCCCCCCTGCAGTAGCCTCCTGACAACCGCGACTTCCGCTATAGATTGGAAAAAGAGTCCTAAGCAGTTTTGTTTCGGCCGCTGTTATTTGATTTCTTTTGTTCGGCTAATTTTCAGAATTTTCAATATATGTAACTGCGCCGAGGGCCGGAACCTGCTAAAATTGTGATTCTTATTCAGACTATTTTTATACAAATCATCGACTTTCGTGTTTAACTGATTTAAAAGTTACTTGTTGCGATTCGTTTTTATGCTATTTAAAAATCGTACTCGTAATACCCATATCAAACATCGATTTTCGTATTTATACGCGATTTAAAAATCACTCATTACGATAAGTATTGACTGGATCTAAAAATTATGCATCGTGACTCTTATTTACGCGATTTAAGAATTCTATATCGCAATTCGTATTTTCGTGCTTTTAAAATTCAATATCGGGATTCATGTTCACGCGATCCTGAAATCCAACAACGCGATTCTTATTCTGGTGATTTTAAGATCCAACATCGCGATTCTTATTCACGCGATCTTAAAATCCAACATCGCGATTCATGCTCACGCGATCTTAAAAAATCCAACATCGTGATTCATATTCACCCGATCTTAAAATTCAACATTGCGATTCTTATTCACGCGATTTTAAAATCCAATATCGCGATTCTTATTCAAGCAATTTTGAAATCCAACATCGCGATTCTTATTCAAGAAATTTTAAAATCCAACATCGCGATTCTTTTTCACGCGATTTTAAAATCTAATATCGCGATTCATATTCACGCGATTTTAAAAGCAAGTTAGCAGCTATGACTAACATTAATGTATTTTAACGATGGTACTCAATTTAAAAGGCAAACACAAAGTGCGTACAGTTGATGCCACCAAAAAAAATAAATTCAAGTTTGATTGGTCAAACAGTCAAAATGACTACAATTGCCAGTAACAATCTATCAGAAAATATTAAGGTGAAAGTTGGCGACTGTTTTAATTTAAAATGATTGACCGGTAATTAATTTAAAATGATAATTACGCTGCAACTTCCTATAATTGCTTAATTTTCTTTAATATAGTAGTGATCAAAATTTTAAGATATTAAAAATATTTTTTATTTCTTCGTCTAAATGCTTCTGTCACTTTAAATATTACATTTTTAAAAATAGTTGCTTTTATATATATCTCCTCGATATCACAGTATTATATGGAACACACACCCCCCTCCTGCATTGTAAAAGTTCAGCTTTTTTTTATTTTCGACCACTTTCATGCCTGTTTATTGTATTGATAATATGTATCCAAAACCAAATTGATTTCTATTTGTCTGAGGATAGTGCATTTCGAGTTGATACACATAATTAAAATGTGTAAATGATGAGGTGAATTGAAATTTATTTTGAATTGTGTTTTCTGAACAAGCTGAGGATTTGATTTGCTGAACAAAACTAGTAGATCAAATTTGTAATTATTTTCCTTCCGTATTTATTAAAATTGCATTAAAACTTTGCATTTTATCCCTCTGTGTGTTGCTATTCAGTGTTTTCATTACAAAAAAAAAANAAAAAAAAATGTCATTTTAAAATCGCAGATCTTTAGAAATCAGATAAAATCACAGATATATATACTTATTACAGTATTATATTATTTTTTCATTATTTTCTTGTTGAAATAAAAATAGATAAGTTGTTGAAGTTTGATGTTAAAATTTGCTATCTTAAAATGAATTAAAATTTAAATAAAATCACATTCATTCTATATACAAAAATGCAATGAAAATGTTGCCTATTTATTTACAACGTTTTCATATCGTATGATATTAGACAATTAAGAGTTCATTCTAGTAACTTTATCCATAAAATGAAATGTAGTGAAACTTTTTTCATTGACTTTCCTTTTTATTAATTGAACTATTAAAAATATTATAAAACTAGATTAGAAATTTAAATTGTATTTATTTATTTTTTATTGTATTGATAATATACATCCTGAACCAAATTGATTTCTGTTTGTCTGACCATAGTGCATTTTGGGTTGAGACACATTATTAAAATGTGTAAATGATGAGGTGAATTAAAAGTGATTTTGAATTGTGTTTTCTGAACAAACTGAGGACCTGATTTGCTGAACAAAACTAGTAGATCAAATTTTTAATTATTTTCCTTCCATATTTAGTAAAATTGCATTAAAACTTAGCATTTTATCCCTCTGTGTGTTGCTATTAAATCGGTACACCAACGATATTACTTTTATTTTATCATACAAGTTATATGATAAAAGAATATTAAAACTCCCATCGCATGTTGGAGTACATGGCAATGAGATAGCCGATGTGCTCGCCAAGAATGACTGTGATCTTCCTATGAACCGCCTTACTCCCTCTGAGACCCACTCCCTGGGAAAACATCGTTTGCTTCCAGTGTGGTGCCTTACTCCAACCCATCAGTGGTATGCTGGCAATCGCGCTGGCCTTTCATTAACATGCAGCGACCCTCGGCCTTTCCAATCGGCTATGGCCAGATTTCGTAGTGGTCGTCTTAAGTGTTTAAGGTTTCAAAATGGGGAGAAGACTTTCCAACCTTGTTCCTGGTCACAACCTGCTAGTCCTGATCACCTTCTTTTTTGCCTTGGCGCTTCTTATAAGCAGCTGCTGGTTGATCGGGACTTTCTGCAGATGCATGGGGAACTGACGCGACGGGGCCTACTGGACCTGATCTAGGCTTTCCTTCTCCAGGGGAATGTGTAACAACAACAACAGAATGTTAAAACGGTCACTATTTTGCAACATTGCTTTTATGAGTGTAAATAAATTATTTTATAATAAATGATATTGTTATTGCTATAAATTAAAATATTTTTATTCTATTGAATTTAGATCATATATTATCTGTTGCTACATCCCACAAAGAACATAACTGTCTGGGACCATTGGAAAAAATCCAAAAATCACCAAGTCCAGGTACAAATGGGTGATATGAAAGGTATATCTCAACAATCACAAAGGTTATGAACATATTAAAGATATTTTCACTTTATTTTAATTTACGACAATAACATTGTGTACAAATAACATGCATTGAAACTACTCAAGAATTTGTTCTTATAATTTTTTCAATGGCATTTAAATGCTTTTCCTTGATTTAACAATCAAAGCATATTTTTCTTTTATTTAATACTAGAACATTCAACAAATTTAATATTTTAGCCTGCTTACTAGGGATCTCTATAAATTTTAGTGTGTTCAGGTTTGATTCTTATTTTGGCCTTTAATATATTTTTAATGAATTAACAGTTTTTCTTTAAAATGATAGCACTGAGCTGTAAATATTATTCGTATAAAATCAATAAAATAAAATATATATATAAATTCATTGATTAAATCAGGGCTGATTGTGCTCCGGATTTCCGGGTTTTTCGCTAACCATGATCCGGAAGTTTCCGGAGATCGAAGGTTCGGACGTTTCAAAAAGTCATTGATTACAAAAGTTTCCGGAAATCAAATTTTCAAAGTGGAACTTAGAAACACAGTTTACTTTATTTGTTTTTAAGGGAGAGCCAGGTACTTTATAAGCTTATATTCAAAATTAATATTGATTTTTTTTTCAGTAAATAGTTATAATCATAAACTCAAGAAAGAAAGACGTATTTGTAAATTTCAATTACCTCTACAGGTCTTTCATAGGTATGTAAAAAAATTTAAATGTATTTTAAGTAAACTAAAGGAAAAAACCTTGTTTAAATTTTTTTCTAATTATTCGATTTAAACTTTTTTTTTTTTTTCACTCAAGAAATTTTACGGAATTTTAACTTGGTCTCACAATCACCCCTGTTAAATGAAAGTAGCAAAAATATTGCAAATTTGGATTTTTTTTTTATTGGCAAAGATAAGTGCAAAGCATATTAATTTTCTTTAATCTATAATTTTCATTCTATACACATTTTAAAGTGTTAAGACTTTAACTTTGTGCATTGTATTTTTATGTATGATTGTAATGGGATGTTCTAGTATTAACGTAAATGTTATATTTTTGTACTCATCCTTATATTGAAATGATTTATAAATTTTAATGTGTTGCTTAAAAAACATATCCATCTTTCAAAGCCAAAGCACAATGTTTGTAGTGTATTATAGGTTTTGAATATTCATTTAGTTATTTTTAACTATCCATCTTCTCTATTGTTAAATGGCATTTGTATTTTAAAAAATGTAGTTTAATTGTTTGGCGTTAAAAATATAGATATTTGATTATACGATATCTGTATTCAAAATATTTAATTTATTTCCTGGTGTTGAATGTCTTTTTATTTCTTTATTATACGCTTGATATTTTTTATCTACTTAGCATTCAATTAGTTGTATAATACAAAATATATTTTTTTTATTTCTTGCTTATGTTGTTTTTCCGTCCTTTTTTCTGTGTTTAATATTTCAATGTAAAATATGAAATTGGTAACTGCTGGTAATTTCAGTAGTGCTATGCTATGCAGGGATGCCAACTGCACCGCTTGCAGCAAAACATTTTATAGACTAGTAGAAAACATAATAACAGAGATGATTGAGCTCTGGAAAAAATCTGAGTTTTCGAATTTTTCGTTAACCTTGATTCAGAAGTTTCCGGAAATCCAAGTTTCAAGAAATCATCCATCACATATGATTAAAATTTCTTTTTTTTAAATATTAGAATATTTATTATTATATTATATTTAAAAATATTAGAATATTTATACTTGGCATCTCTTTTATTTGCAAATATTAGTTTTTGGTAGAATAACAAATGTGATAAGAGATAAAAGTAAACTTATACATAATTTATTTAGAATTTCATGTTTTGGAAATATCAATGATTTAAATTTATAAAGACATTTATTTTTTTAAAAGTGTCATTAATGATTTTAATCAAGAAATTTTCAGGTTTTTTGAGTTGGGCCCACAATCACCCCTGTAATAATAACACTTTCAGAGTTTTAGTTAATTTTTTAAAAACCGCACCCCGAGCACACTGGTATAAGGTAGAGTTTTTTTGTTCATCTGTTGTGGTGTGGAGATTAACAATAAATCAAATTTATTAAACCAAGAATCAAATATTAAAATACAAACTTTACAAATAAGAAAAATTTTACCACAAAGGAGCAAGTTGGCATCTCTGGTTATGAGTTGCTTTTTATGTATCTTAATTTTCCAAAACTTCACACTTACGTTTAAATATGTTGTAATTTTTGGTTATAAGAATTAATGTTTTATTATAAATGAATTTATGCATTTTCAGTGATTCCCAAATAAAACAACATTAATTCAAAGTTGATGTTTCCCACTTGTAAGAATAATAGCAGTCATTAGATTCTTGCTTTAATTCACAATTTATCATTTTACTCATTTTCTTATTTTTTTCTCCTATAGCTTTTCGAATTCTTAGTAACTGTGGTTCAGAAATAACCCCACTGCCAAAATATTTTTATAAAACACTATTAAAAATTTATAAAAACTAATGAAAAAAAAACTAAAAGTCAGTAGATTCATAAAGATTGAGGTCTGGTGTTTGCAATTTCGATTTTTCCGTGTTGATTATAAGGAAATGAATCACTAATTATTTTTTGTAAACTTATAAGTCAATTAAACTGAAGTTTCTATGGCTAGTTTTGCTTTCTAATTATTTTTTTATTTGTATTAATTTTTAATGTAGTAGCATCTTATTTAAACAAAATTTTGTTTTTAACATTAAATTATTCTTAAATAGTTTGAACATTTTTCAAATGCTAACCCCATAATCTGCCAGTGATATGATATATCAGTCCTTTTGTGAAAATTTGCAGTAATTTATTATATAGCTATTATATATTTGGCACTTGTTTTTACCATGAAGGAACTTTTAAACAAGAAATATCCTGAGTCAATGAATTTGCCCCTCACAAAATAGTGTTCTTTGTTATTTTTTCAAATGCACACTTTTGATTTTTTTTTTTTTTTTTTAATACTTAATGTGCTTTTTCTTCATTTTTTTAAATCTCATACAGTGAAACCTCCCGGAAGGACCCCCTCTATTTTATCAAATGTTTTAGCTATAATATTGTGCCACCTTTAAATAAACTGTGAGTAAACTGAAAATTTTATTTTAGTAAATTGAACTTTTAACTTCTGCTAATGTAAGTATATATATATATACAGAGTGCCAAATAAAGCAATTAAAATATGTTCCTAATACTTGCATTAACGCAAATCTATTAATAATAAATTTATAATTGTTTTTTATTAACTGACTTTTATAACTTTTAAGTACTTAATTTAAAAATATAAAGTAACACTTGTATAAGATTAGGCCAATAAAAAAGCTTTAAAAAATTATGTTTTGTTTAACTTGCCAGATTAAATTATTATAATATGCACTGAAATGAATTTATTTAATAATAATAAATTGTTTGTTTTAACTTTCAAACAGTTTACTTGATTTGGTTCTGTCTTAACAATTTTTAATCAGTTTGTTTTCGTTGTTGGATTCTATTATCTACATCAGTGGTTACCAACTGGCGGCCCGCATGCCACATCCAGCCTGACAAGCCTTTTTTTGTGGCCCGCGAACTAAAATATATTAGTTGTCGTTTTTTGCTGACAATTTTCTTAAAAAATCTATAGGTTTAAAGTACTTTTCTTCATTAAAAAAGCCTAATTTCTTTGTTTCTGTGAAATTTAACATACCAACAATGCAAAAAATTTATTTCTCAGGTGAAAATCTACTTCTTATTTTAATTTGTAATTCAGTACTTTTGTTTTGTACAACTTGATAAAAGTCTGACAGTAATATTTAATGTTCCTTTAGAAATAAAAGAGTCCTGTATAAAATTTTGATAAGGTTGCGGCCCGCCATTTGACTGGTTTTTTTAATTGCGGCCCCCGACCTCATGTAAGTTGGAAAACCCTGATCTACATATAACGACTTAAATTTACATTAGGTCGTTATTAAATATTTAATGTCATTAAACATATATAAAAATTTAGTTTTGTAAAAAAAAAATGAAAAAAAAACTTGTTGTGTTTATGAAACTTCTAATCTTGTTGCTGCAAATTTATTTGTTCTACAGAGTTTGTTAAAGAATGATCAAATGAAACAATAGTAGCAAAAAAGTATTTGAAATGTTTGCCTTAGAAACGCTGCAAATCACTCTGCAAATTCATGTAAATTGCTATCTTAATCAATTAGTTTTTGACGCTATATTGTAATTGTATCCTATATTTAATTAATGTTTTTCAATCTGTGTCACTATTTCTACATAAATCAGTATTGTCATTAATAACTGTTAATAAGTAGTTTATTTTCTATACAACATTGTAATAAACTGTGTTTACAGAACAGCCGAATTTTTTTTCTTTACAGTCGCCATATTTTAAATTCTGAAGTTGAATAAAAGATGTTTACTGATCGATTTAATAACCATTATATGTTATTTTAATATATCTGTCATAAATTGATGCAAAGTGTGAATTGGGCGCTCTTTTTAAAGTACATAGAAAATAAGCAATATTATTGTAAATTATCTTGGATTACAATATTATTAACTAGATGTTACTGTATCACAATATTATAAAGTTTATTAATTAAATAAATGTCCCTTATAATTTGTACAATCCATTTTAGAACTGCTACTTTTATCAATAATATAGTAATAGTTTTAGTTCATGAGCAAAATCTTAACATATTTAATCTTTCTCTTTTTATAATTATAAAAAGTGTGTCATACATATGTTATGACTTTATTCTTTAAATTATGTAGTTGTGGAGCTTATTTTCATTAATAAATCTTCTTCCTTTTACATATGATTTTTTTTTCAAAATTCCTAATGATTAAAAGGTGGCATTCTAAAGAATTTGAGAAATTTGGACAGTCGGAATTTCTTTTTTCATTCAAGAAGTTCTATTGCATTTTTTTTTCTTCTTTTTTATGTTATACTTTTAAAAAATTTAAAACTAATCCCCTATATTTCCTTATGATTAAAATTTTTCATAGATCAAAATAAATTCATTACCTTCCCCTTTCAAACTCTGAAATATTCATATATGTTCCATTTTTACTTACTTAAGCTATTACAA